CATACATACATACATACATACATACATAATACAAACAGCGAAACAAACTCTGCGGATTTGGCTGCAGGAAGTATGCAAAGTTTTGCAGAGATATCCTTCACCAACAGAACATCCCTTCCGTCAATAATATTACTAATTTGGAGAAATTTCATTAAGAAAGTATCAGATAAATGTATTCAACTTTGTGTGACAAGCAGCCTTGCTTCTGCTTGACTAGGGGAGATAATTCCGTCTCCTGCGTCGGGCGGATCTTCAGCACATCCAATGTTTTCTTGCAAATCTCCCCGCATTTGGGTTTTAGCGCCTACGTACACTTTCTAGACTACTATTTCCCACTATTTTAGTCATGCACTATTGGACAGATGTTTCGCTTAATTGTATGAAAATGTCTGTTAAGGACAGCCAGCGTCTTCTTCTTTATCACGTGTATGAAAGTTACTTTTTACAGCGTGAAATGATAGTTTTACGGGCCTAGTTCCTCGTCACTGCTAATGTTTCTAAACTGCAAGTACTTCTTAAATTGTAATTTAGTCATTCTAGGTCGCTTAAGTTGACTACCACAATGATATTGGTAGACGTCGTGAGGCCATTTAATTTCACTAAGCATTGCTCACACTTGAGACTTGTGATTTCTCACCCTAGAGACGATATTACATTCACACACATGCACACACAAATAGACAAACTAATCAAATCTTTCTATATCTTTCTATACACATCAATTGAAATTCAGTTCACTTTTAGTTTTGATTATTTGTAGCACAATCTAGAGCCGGCTAGCTTCTTAACTTAGTGTTAACTTGAGGCTTCTGTGGGAATTAGATGAAGCTCTGATGATAAATGTCATATGAATGATGGGAAAACAGCATGTGCTTACCTGAACCAAGGGAGGATGTAGCGTAAATCGCGTCAACCTGAAAGTCATGGAAAAATCAAATGACTTAAGAACGATGGAAATCAGCCGTCATCAATCTCTCCCGATACTTTTCGAATTTTTCCTGATTCTTTTAGTGGGCCTATTCATATTATCTGCACTTGGAGACATAGCCCTCCTAAGTAAAATGTTTCTTTTTCACAAGTTTTCTTTCCTACTAGCCTCGGTTTTTGCCAAAAGCATTGCTTGAATTCGTCAGATAGTCAAGCAGCTGTTAAATATTGTTTTCCTTCATTACTGTTACCGTATATTTAGGTATTTTCGAGAATTGCAGAGCATGTTATTGTAGTGATGCATAATGTTGTGTAGCGTGGAAATGTTCATGTAATTTTAGCACACAATAATTTGGCCTACTTTATAAGATTATAGTTTAAGTGAAAAAATCAAAGGTTTTAGACTATATAAATATGGAGATGAGTACAATCCCATTCAGTTCCAGGTTAATTTGGCTGATTTTTTGCTAGTAATGGCATATAGCAGACATTGCTAAAGATGGATGTCATGTTAATAAACACTTACAGCTAGCATAGCGTCACACCCCGGGCAATTCGTGAAAATAGTGTTACATTTTGGACATAATTTCTAGACAAGTCGTTGGAATTTCGTCCAATCGCTCGTCACTAGACAGCTTTTTCAAATAATGACCAATATAATTATCAAAAACAAAATACTCCTAGCATTACACCGAAATGGCATATACGAAATAGAACAAGCAACTAAACTTAAGGCAAAGGTGAAATATCCATTACTCCAAATGTAAGGTTTGGGATAGCAAAGATGGTTTCTGGCTTAAAGATGTTATTTTTCGTATTTAAGTAGACCTTAGAGACTACCAGTAAATCAGTAATATGAGAGGTATTCACCATATTTCGTTTAAGGTGATGAGGGACTGGTAGTAGAATTTTCCCACAATCATATAAGTAGAGCTGACGTTTTTATTCAATTTCACATAGCCTTGCTTTCCCAAAAGTTGTCCTCATCCAGGGTCTCTTTGACGAGTCTTTGACTCACAGATAGTGCCGACTAAGATGCCGGCGAAACGTTTGAGAATGTACCAAGTCCACTGTCTGATGCTGGGAATCATGACAACTATGATGACAGACGATTTCGGACTAGGTGCGTTCTAATAAGTCGCCCTGGCAACAAGATCAAGTTGCGAAAACGAGGTCAACGCACTTGTATAAATCGAAAAGAGACTGCGACCATACCAGAGGCCACAACATCTTGGTATTCATATCTAGAGTCTCTTGTGTTTGGCAGATAGATCTTAATCTAGCAAGCGTACTACCACTCTCAAAACGATGGAGTCCCACTTAGTCGGGCCTCATTTCTGGCCTCTTCAATGGCACAATCATAACACTTTCAATTACATACCTACCCGAAAGTTGTCTCACATCTTATCCACATCTCTATTTACACAATATCATAACATTTTTTTGGGATTCATTACAAGTTTATTTCACTTCATCAAATCTACCAAGAGGTGATGTTCACTCATACGCATACACTTACATACACACACACACACACAATTTACAGGCATACAGATGGAGAGGCACAAATGCGCACACACACATACACAATCTAACTCATACGCAAAAACACATTCTTCGCGAGTATCTTTATGCACTGCCAGATTTCATTCATGTGCCTCATAGGTGCTGGGAGTTCTAAGTGGGATAGACTTTCTGGATGCAATTTCCGGAGGATATCGCCTGAATCGAGGAAGAATCTCTCGAGAGCTTCGTCAGCCTGTAGTTCCAGTATGGCCAAATATGAGCAAGCCAGGTAGAATGCTTCATCTTTTTGCATTCCGATTGACATGAGGCAGCGTAGTAGGCTTTTAAGTTCACATGCATAGCAAGGACACGTTAAACATTGCTTGGTTATCTTCTTTTCAATAGCATCTAATGTCATTTATTTTGCTGCCTCCCTACTCCATTTCCACTCTGTTTTTTCTCGCATGCTTGAAACTCATCTTCTTCAGCGCGATCCTGAGCCCGGCTGAAGTAGAAATGTCGCTTGAGCTCGGTTCTGCAATCCGTCCTACTTCCGCCAAGACCCGATCTCCCGAATCTCTGCGACTCTGTCTTGGCTTGAGCTGCAGAGAATTCATGAATGGATCACTGACTTCCGGGTCTACAGCCACTCCAGCTCTGTCTGGAAGACCAGGTAGCTTGACTTGATGGCCAAGGTGAAGTAGATGAGCCTCACAAAACCATTTTACTGCTAAAACGTTTTCTAATCCCGATAGGAGTGTAGCCACGGTAACACCTCCAACCATACTCGAAAATGGGTCTGGTGTATAAAAGGATAACGACTTATAGCCATTTCAAGTAGAGACTATCAAAACAGGCCAAGAATATTGCTACTCATATTTATTGTGAGATTGTCAATAAGGCAAACTTGTATCTGCCATTACATTCGACGATATTACTATAAATCTAGTGAGTATACTTCGAAAAAATCCACTCTAAGCATATTCATATGGTCTATAGAAATGTCCTCGATTGTAATGACAAATACAGATCCGTCCTCTTGACGAGTATCTCATTCTTTGAAAGCCAAATCTGACCTGTGACTCAATAACATGTATTGTGTTGTGGCTGAATGATATGTCACCATTTTACGCACACTATTTGGTTGCCAATCCCAATGGGTTATAAAGCCATTTGGCAGGCAAGACCAAGTTAAGAGGTTGTTTAACCTTGTTTTCGCAACATGGTCATATTGGTAGGAAGACTTATAGGAACGCACCTAGTCCGGGGTCCATTGTATGCATCATCATTTCAAAAGTAGGACCGTGGACGTAGTACATTCCCAGACGTTTCGCCGGCATCGTAGACGGCATCGTCAGTGAGTATCGCCATTCTTAGCACCAC